GCGCCGGAATTGTCCTTTAAGTGTAAGGCATGCACTGCTGTTTACATATGAGCTGAGGGCCCTCTTGTTTTCTCTTGTTGTACAAACACATGTGGTCGTCTGCGACTCGTTGCAAACTGTTTACAAACTGTTTTCTCACCATGTACTGTGGTCTCTGGCTCCCTGAATCGAACTCGCCGTTCGCCTTTCCGTCTGTGGTTTGGTTCTGCGTCTGACCCATAGTTGGGACTTGGCCTCTTTAGAATGGAGGTGGGGACTTTGCCATTGGTTACCTGCATCAGATACAGCTCAGGATAAGTATGATACATTTCAGAGACCAGGAGACAACAGCTGGAAGGCACAGATCTTTTGCAAACAAACTGCTCGTATCCACCGCTGAAGATGGCTGCATGTGTTGTCAACACTACCTTCGGTTTCGGTGTGTCCTCCTGTTGGTGGTGGGTGTCCTTTCTGTGGCGGACCTCTGAGTGTTTCTCCCGGTGGGAGTGAGGAAGACAGTTGACAGTTGAGTCTCGGATGGACTCTGCAGCAGCGAAGCGTTTGGACAGTGCAGACACACACTGACCCAGGGAGTCTAGTAAGAGAACCATGACCATGAGTAGTGATCTAGTGCTACTTCACAAAGGCATCAGCAGTCTGCTCTGAAGACAGACAATGAGGCGAAGTTAAATATACAAAGTTAAACATGCAAATGTGCCTGAGAAAACACACTTAACTGTGTCAGTGCCAGGTAGAGTTAGTCGGTACAAGTAACAGCTCACTTGTTTTTTTACCCCAATATGTGATTTAATCAACTGATGAGTCAATCTATTACTGTTCTCTGTAATTTACAACTAGAATAGCTTCTATAGGAGATGGTTGATTAAAAGAGAGGCCTAGACAGGTAGACCGACAGGCAGACATTTATATGTTAATGAACATGCTTTTAAATCTTTATAAAACTGATGTGGGAATTTTCTTACAAAATGTGTAAAAAACACAAAAGTGAATACAACTTGAATAAAAGATCAAATTAATTTAAAAAACCTCACCTAATGAAAATTGACTCAAAGTAAAATCAGAAGTCACATACTTATAGACAGTTAAAATCTTTCCTAAGAAACTGTATCAAATGATTAGGGGGGAAGAGGGGGTCAAACGTGGAAGATGGCTGTGTATTTTTTAAATCCTTTTGCTTAAAGGAGAGTAGGAAAAGGTCTTTTAATTTTTTTATTTCAGCCTTTTTTCCCCAAGCTGCACAGAGCTGGTCCCTGTGTGGAATTTGGTGGATATTCTGAAAACTATTGGGTAGGATCCACTGAACTAGCTAGGGAGGTCTTGTTTTTTTTAAAAATGTGGACCATATGGCAAACTGCCCTCCCCACTCAAATAATTTTCATACATTCCCTAAGTACTCAGGGGTTTCTAAGGGACAAGAGCTGTAAACATGCCTCTGTTTAAGCCTCTTAGTGTGGTTCACAGAGGATTTCTCTGTGTACAATACAGAGGTAAAAGGTTGCAAGAAGTGCACAGAGACTATTGTGTCCTGATTTGCAACAGCAACTACGACTGACCCTGCACTTCACCATTTCACCAAACATGTTTAAGACCATCTGAGGCGAACAACAAAGAGTACTGTAAATCTTTGTCTTTAAATGCTGTACACTCCTGTCTTTATAGCTGGCCATGTTCAGCACCACTGCCTCTAAAAGCTGACTCAACAACAAGCCTGGTTTCTACGTACTGCTTTTAACACCACAGCAGTTCTCACATAGTGCCGAGTTCAGAGTTGGGCAGAGAGTGTTGTTCCCTCTTAATGCAAGCCAAGCATACATCCTGTACAACAGAACTGTGCCCTCAAACTGTCACAAAGCTACTGTTCTTTTTTGCTCTGCATAAAAGCACTCTTGTGTCCAACATGACTCCAAATGTTTATTAATTTAACATTTTGACATAGTTTAAAGGCTAACTGACTTGCTTTAGACCATGCCCTCAGCGTTCTCTCTAAAGCAGAAGGGAGATAACTTGTTTTTAAGATTAACATCACTGTTCTGGTATTGTCATACCTCGTGAGACAGCGAAGGCTCCACCCTCATGTTTCAGCATGTTAACAGTGTTAAATTATATACTGCTGAGAGAGGTGTCCTCCACTGTTGTTTTAACCCACGTACAGTAAGTCCCTTTGTTGTAACATCGTGTCAGGATGACAGTAGTGTTTACTGTGCCATTTATCACAGGTGGGTCTTTACCTGAATATTCAGTCTTGCCAATCTCAGCATAGACGGTGGCCATAAGCTCCAGGCTTCTGGCTGTAATTGGGTGGTCATTACCGAAGGCCCTCTGGTGAATCTTTGTGGCCTGAAAGATGAATTAATAGACAGGGAATCTGAAGTTGACACAGGACTGCAGTGGTAAAAGAAATCCTCAAATCTTAAAAAAATTAAAAAATCCTGTATCCTGTCCTTAGTATTATCTATCATTATCATAAATAAGTAATAAGTAAAAGCAGAATGGCTCATTTCAGGATAATATATATTATACAGTATCACTGGATTATAATTAGTGATGCATTAATGTTTCAGCTGGTAAAGATTTGAATAATAATAAAAAGAGTTGATTTATATTTTGGTTTAATAATCTGACTCTGAAAAGTAACTAAAGGTGTCAAATAAATGTAGTAAAATGAAAAGTACAATATTGACCTAATTGGCGGAGTAAAAGTATTCAGTGAAGTAGCATAAAATGGAAATACTCAAGTAAAGTTAATACTCATAATCAAGTATCAATCAAGTAAATCTATAGATCTAAATATAAAGAATAATGAAACTGACATACCTTACCGCTGTATTCTAGAGCAAGATGAGGTCTGCAAGGAAAAGGACAGGAAAAAGGTGCCATTAAACAAATAAACTACCTACTTTTTCTGTGGCACTGGAGTAAAATATTTTATATCTGCTGAAAACAAAGTCTCTCATTGAAAATGGATGTCACTGGTGAATTATCAGATCTATTTATCTCTTATTATCAGATCTACTGTACATTCTTCCATTTAAATAGAAATATTTTCAAAGACAACAACAATGCCTGACCTTATTTAAATGTAGTGACCCATGCTACACTGTCAGACGAGTATCTGTTCTGTGTATCTGTTTCACAGCAGCATGAGAAATCTAAACATGCGTGTGCTGTGATTAGACACAGAGAGCAGGGCTGCAGGTGCTCAGGCGCCTCATGGAGGAAGTGGAAACCTTCTATTTCTGCCAGTACTGACTGCCTCTTTTTATTCTCCAGGGTGAATTACAAAAGGGGCATGGCGCTTACAGGTTGGTTTACTAACTTGTGCCCTTCCACCACTCTTCTGTTTAGTGCTAAGCTAGGGGAACATTATGTCGTACATAGAGGATCTGCCAGCTGTTCCACTCATATTCACTCAAGGACATTCATCACCCTCACACCCTCACGTGTGCCTATAGATGTAGAGCAAGCTCTGTTTAGTGTGACAGATGTCAGCTTCGCTGTTCAAAAGAACACTTCCCTTCAATTAGTAATGGCCAGGTGTCAGTTTGCACTGCTTTAGAAGGTCCTTTTCAGGGGACATATGATCGGCAAAGACAGAAAAGCCCTTCACCAGCCCAAAGGACTTCCTACGACATTGCTGAAAGATTCAGCAAGTATTACAAATTCCTGTTGACAATAAAGAAAAAAACTGGGGCTTAGGCTTATGGTGTAGGTACGCAAGAAAGGATCAAAGAGCAGAATCAAATTCCTGCTTAGCCAGACACCCAAGCCTCTGGGTAGAGTCATGCACAATCAGTACAATCTCATTTAAGTTTAACTACTGTATGCTCCTTGCATTAATGAAGCACCGTGACCAGCCTTCGGCCGCGCAAAGCTTCCACCTCCTGTCACCCTCTCTGGCAATCAGGTTAAATGGCCTAATCCAAACAACGACAACAGAGGCACAGAAAATGGGTGCATGCTATGGCCGAACAAAGTACCCCTGCAACAGGAGCCACCAGATCTAGTTAAGGTGTTCCTCCTGTAACACTCACGTAGAGTGCGGTGTCTTTTTTCTCCACATCTACAGGGAAATTCAACTCTTGCTAAAAAGACTTGGAGCTGGAGTTTTTCTAGTTCAAAAATTTCCATTCCAAAGTGGTACGTGCAAGTGGACATGGATGTGCATTCGCTTTTTGCCATTCAGGGTGAAAAAGTAAGAGCATCAATGACTGTCCTGACCTTTCATACATGACACATAAGTATGAACTGTTAATAAAGCAACAATAAAAGTGAATAATTCCTGAAGGTGTTTTTTACAAAACTGTCACACAAATTTATTCCAGCAAGCCGAATATTAATTTCGGTGTCTTGGAGTAAATTATTTATCTCAAGATTATTTCAGGCTGATTTTTTAAATTAAGCCGAGGGTTTTACTTTATAAACAAATGAGCTTTTTATTGCTCCAAGCTGCTGCTTGTGTAATAAAACTGATAACAGAAACAAATGCAAATCTACTGCTTGTGTTATTACAAGTGAATAATCATCAGCACTATATGTGTATATACATAAATATTATATATATATATATATATATATATAAAAAAACTATACAGCTGGTGATAAAACAGCTATACAAGTGACTTTGTCCACTGAGCCCTTAAACTCACAGAACATGTAATGCTCCATTAATTACACCACAACAGCCGCTACAGCAGGACACAGTTTTACCTACTGTTTGCTCATGATGCACAGTTGGGCCAGCCGTTCGAGGTGCTGTGCCTGGGAGGCCTGCTCCGAAAGCTCCTCTGGTGTTGTCCATCCTGCGGAGCCCAGCGTAGCCTCCTCCTGAGGCCCTGTTACACAGACACAGGGCATGGAATCACAGTCAACCGGCTGCCAACAAACCACTCAGTCTTTCCTCTGCTTGTCTATCTGTTCCTCTGTCCTCACTGTCCTTTGCTCCCGTTACCTCTCTACCACTGCACAGAGTTTGAAAAATAAAGCCCCAAAAAAGCCTGGATGTCTGGCTATCAGGCTGTCTGGCACTGCTGCGGACTTTAAGCCTGAACAGCAGAGTGGAGCCAACTGAGGACTGGAGACACGAGAGCAGAGATAAGGGCAGGACAGAGTGGATAAGGGAGTCAAACAACACACTCACCACGCCCACAGGAACACACACATGCACACGGTGACAAACCACAAACATACAGAATGTACTGTACACACACATACAAAAGTGGAGGTGGAAATGAATTTAGCTTATAATCCATGCCATGAGTCAGTGCAAATAAATCATTGTAACAGGTGTTTGCATTACAAAAACCACAAAATGACAATTATGTCAGCAGTCAGTGGAGAATTACTGAGTGGGGTACATTTGAAAAAGCCACTGGAGAGACAAAGAAAGGTTGTGAGCCACAGCTATAGTGCCAGCTCTGCCTCTGGAGAAGTCCAGCATTCAATCCAAGTGAGTGCTGAATCAGGAGCTTCAGTATAGTGTAGGGACACACAACTCCTAATGAGCAAAGTGTGGCCATTTGTCTTCTACTATGTCTGTCCCCGATCTCCTCCAATGTGCCCAGCACGCTACACTGCGCTGCTGCCTCAGCAGCAGACACAGAGGAAGAGGCAGACGTCTGGAGCAGTGATGAATGAGTGGCCTTGCTGTGAATGTGCTCGCTTAAAGCTCAAGCAGGTATATTGTAAACAAAGATGGACGTCATTACATATTGCCTTAATGAGTTAACAGAATAGAGTTTTGGGGGTGTTACAGAAACACATTGTGTAATCATCTATATTTGTAGGTTAGTTTTTAGATGCAGGTGACACGTGAGTCACTTTGGAGAGCTGTCTACTACAAACACACACTGTCATGCAGCAATTGAACCGTTTCTGATCTGCTCCTTCGCTAATAGCATAAAATTACATGAAAAATAACATTTTTTTCCACACATTTTTGCATCACCCTTCCCATTTTTTCCTATTGACCTAAAGTTAAGGAAAAACAGGTAAGCTTTATTTATGGGTTTGTTCTTTCCTGATAATTTCTTGATTTGTTTCACATAGATCCAACTATATCATTTGGTACTTATTATAAAGAAAACAGAGAGAGAGAGTTTTTAGCTGTTTTGAGTTCAAACAATTGTTGGTTCCCAGAGGAATTTAGTTAAACTGAAGCAAATATTCATTTTAATCCTCAATTTATATTTGAAAACTCATGTATGCAGAATTATATACCTACCTGTTAACAAATGCCACATTTTACATATTCATTTATAAAAATAAACTTGCTTTTATAATTAGTAACAAATGGCATGTTTTTCCAGGAAACTTCCTAAGAAATAGTAAATAAGTAATAAATAAATAAACATTACCAATATTAAAAGTAGAAAAAGTACCAAAAGTACTTGCCTGTGCTCCCCTGAAGAGCCGTGAGCTCGATCAGTGCCACCTCATAGAACATTTTTTCAGCCTGGATGAACTGGAGGGCCTTCCCATCTGTTAATATGGGTGAAGGATCAGTCTTAGTTGTCAGCAGGATTAGTGGGTTGTTGAAGTTAAAAACAGCCTTGTTGCCCAGCTCAACACACTGTTTTTTGGTTTTTTTCCCACCTCTCTGGAGAATGACCCCTCCAGGCAAACAGAATGTGTAGTAATACAAAGCAGATTGTTGATATTGAGGTCTGGATTTTACACAGATTTCAACTACTGGTGTATGTGTCAATCTTTTTGTGCTGTTGTTTGCGCTTTTTGTACAGCATTTCAAATGGAGCTACTGTGATGCAAAATCAATTTCAATTGCTAAATCACAGTGCAGATGTACCTGATTAGACCTCATTGTATTATATCATATTACAGTCCTATTTCAATGTTATTCTTTGTGCTTGTGTTTTGCACAGAATCCCTTTGATTAATCTGAAAGCCAGTTTTGTTTCCATGAAAAGAATCTCTATAAAAAGCATCCTAAAAATAGAGCCTTTGTCAAAAGCATTCTGCTTACTGAGAGTCCATCCCACTGTAAAATGACACCACTGATGCTTGTCAGGTGAATTTAAAGACCAATGGGACAAAGAATGCTTAAAATAAACACAGCCCTGCCTGCCTAATGTCCTACTTAACACCAGAGCTCTCATGTGTAAAATGCTATAAATTACATTCTGGGTATTTCACTTTTCATCATTGTGGGGACGCTACTTGCCAATTATACTTAAATATATATCACATGAAACTACATATCTACCACTTTTATATTGAGGTTGGAAAGAAAGGGGCAATTGGTTTCCACTTTTAAAGAACAGTTAAGCTAGGAACTTAAAAACCTCAACAGCTGGTTTCCTTCACTTTGTCACCAGGAGAATGAAGGAAAACCATGACACAGTACTGTTAAAACAGTACTGTTAAAATCCGATTGTACATGTGGTCCACAAAAAGAAAGGACTGTTATCAAACAGAAAGATTAAAAATTAAAAATACTTCCTTCTGAGCATCACAATATACCAGAAAAGATGGTGGTGAGGGGTGGATGTAGAAAAGCTATTAGTGCATGCACATCTGAATAATTTAATGTACAATATAGTAAATAATATAGTAATAACTTGTTATAAAAAACCCAACATTTTACATTATTATTGCACTAAATACAACTAATTTGTTTTGACGTTTTGAGCAAGGTATCTTAAAGGATGATTAGAATTGCAGTATACCAGTCCCAGCTCCTGGGAGTCACTTGGGAACGAGGTGAGTTTGAGGTGGACCATCTGGGAGGGAGGATTAGGGGAATAGCCACCATCAAAGGTCAGAACACTACTTCTGCCTGCTATTTTTAGCCCGGCTGGACCACAACAACGCCACAACAGGAACCTCACACAATCCTCTCCGGGGAATGTGTGTTCCACTTTACACATCTACACACACACACACCTCCCCTGAACTGGTAATTGGACTGCACTCCAAAACTCGACAAGAACTTGCATTAACACTGGCACCTTCAAAGGCACATCTGATCACACGCGCCACATAACTCCAAGAGTGTGCTGAAATAAACTCATGAAGTATGCCTAACGCCTAACTCTAGCCGGTAGGAATCTGGGATATCCTCTAGAATTAAATATCATGTGACTAATATATTGATTAGCTTGATTCTTAGACTCCCTGTGCCTATCTATTACTACTTTGTCTGTACTGCATATCCATTCCAAAAATGTAAATACAGGATATACCCAGATTTTTTGTTTACCTGATATTCCCCTTTATTTGAGGTTAAAATCAAATTGTCTGGTTCAGCACACGTTCCAAGAACCATGTATCAGTAAACAATCAGCAGCCAAAAGAGCTTTTGGCTCGGGACAAAGGTCACTTGTGGATAACTGCCAGCTTTGATAACAATGCATCAAGCTTTAAGTGGTCATGGCACTGCCACTATCACTATTAACTGCACCTAATACAGTATATTTGTCTGGAATAAGGCCAGTGCACCAGAATGAATTCAAGATGCTTTGAATATGTAAAGTCAGCTTTGTTTGTCACACCGACAACATAGATACATTCTGTTGTCGTAAACATTTGTGTGAAACTCCAAAGTTCCCACATCCTCTCCCAGTTTGAGCACACTGACCCTTCACCCCGCTCCCTAGAGGACTGCATCACAAAGACCACATCATCACTGTTTCAGCTCCTACGATGCTCATGAGAACTACTGAGAAAAAAATTTAAGCATCTCTCGGAAACATTTGATGGAAAATTACGACATACTTTTAATGTCTGCACACAATGATATTACTGATCTCTGCTGCTGACCTACTAAACAATATATGTTACATGTCACGGCTGTAACCTTACACTAAATGTAAATGATGTAACATGGTAACACACATAAAATACCACAGTTTGACATTACACAACACCATTACTATTGATGATGTTATGTAATAATGTACTGTATGTCAAAAGACTTAACCCTGTCATGGTAGACGACCCTCTTAAGTAGATACCTTTTCATGGTGAGAAGGGGCCTACTGATGGCTATTGACGAAGTGAAGCTCAGCAAATCGACCTATTTTGGAAAATGGACAGTGAGGGTAGAGCCTTGCTGAGGTAGATAACCTGAGCTGGCAAGTTAAGTGTTGGACTGTCTCAGTAACAGGGAGAAGAGCCATGGAGGTAATATATCCTGAAACGTAACACCTCTCTATTATCTCTATGTCCTATACTGCTATAGTTTATAGGAGCAGTGAAGTGGCGATGCACAGGCTAGTCAGTGAAGATACAGGTTAATTAGTGCTCTTCCACTCTGTTGTGCAGAGATAAGAGCCTACAAATCCTCTTATGAGGCAGACACACAGCCTGGGTGACACACAATACGTATGGCATTCTGGGACAAATGTGTTATTATGAACTCGCCCAAAGACATCCACTCATCCCCCTCAGTTTACACTGCTTTCTATAAAGGGTCTACAGCCTCCATTGTGGTGGAATTTGCCATGCCTTTCCACCACTGACAATCCTTTCCACACAAATACAGAATGCTAGTTTTATAGTTAGCCTGCTTGCTAACACATAGCATCCTGAAGGGATGGCGAAAGTAAAAGTGTCAGATGTGAGACTTTTCCCTCAGTTAGTAAAGGATACAATTCTTTTCCGTGATGAAGAGTTCTGCAATCTGTAAAAAACAACCAAGGGACATGGTTAAGTATTAAATAATTCATTTCCAACAGTATTCCCAGTTGTGTGTATGCATGATGTCATGGGCTGTCAAAACAAGTAATACTGATCTCCTTGCAGCAGCATTGGTCTGGTCAACATCATGCCACACGTTCCAAAGTTCTGAAGTAAAGGCTTTGTTTGGACATGAGGAACATTCCTTCAGGCACTATTACACAGAATTAAAATTATAGCCTTGCCTTTGTAGCAAGGCCTTGTAAAGCACCCCAGTATGTAACCTGCAAAGACTTTGGCCTGGCTACAGAGTGCCAAAACATAGTCCCCACACAATGGGAAAGACATGAGCTGGATATTAAAGTATTTTTAACAATGTGAGCTGTCTAATAACACTGTTACTGTATATTAGAGCTGCGTCCAATAACTCATTTAGCAGCATGCACACCATCAGTCCTACTGAGGCTGTAATGATCTTACAGTGTCAACACAGGGACACATGATGCACTGTAAGATTTTGACATTGGTGTTAGTGATATCAAGGTTGAATGTGTCCTGTGTGCTGTGCTGTGTGATAATTAGTGATGCTCCAAAGGAGAAGTAATGCAAATGTGTCTATACAGATGTGCAAATACATGATACAGCAGATTTTGTGCATGCATGTAATGAATATGCACAGGCATGTTAGTATGTGTGTGTAAGCGAAAGAAAAGGAAGAGAGACACACAATTGTTATGAGTCTGTGTATGT